TAGACCATGGCGACCTCTGTCGTCCATTATTGATTCCGTCCATTGGTGCCGTCCACCTCTGCCGTCCAGCTGTGATTTCAAATATTGCTGACAGCGAACGACGTGATATGCGTGCAGCCGGTGAGTCACATACATCGGTCAAAAGCGCTCCGTCAGCAGATTCGCCTCGACACAGAACTATTCGTGTTGCTGAGCGAACCGACCAAGCAGCGCGCGCGCCCCCCGCCGCCGCCGCGCCGCTCGACCCGCCCCGCCCCGCTGCACCACCGCCGCCGCCTGCTGCGCTCGCTGTGGCTGCTGACCCTGCTGTAAAACCTAAACGGCAGCAAGCGAAGCGCCGGAACATCGCAAACCGGCAAGCTCAGCCGCCCGCTTTACCGGCGGAGAATAGAACGGGAAAGGCTCAATCAAGACCTAGCGAGCCGTCCCGGGACCAGCGCCGCGACCAGGTAGATGCGGAGGGATACACCCTGGTCCAGAAGAAGCGCCGTAGGCAGAATCGCCAGAACCAGTGCGGCACCGCATCGGGAGAGCCCAATTCACCGTTGCGCGCCGCCACGCCGAGGACATCGCTCTATGTCTCCCGCCTGCACGAGTCTACCACAAAGCAAGACGTGCTGGACTACATCTTTGCGAGGCATAAAGCGGGTGTCTTCAAGGACAATCCGAGGCTCGGCGTGTTCGTGGAGGCGTTGGAATCGCACCATCGTGTGAGCTTCACCTCGTTCTTGGTGCGAGTCCCGACTGCCCACTTGGACGTCTTCACCACGCCAGAGTTTTGGCCGAAAGGAGTTGTTTACCGCCGCTTTCGAGGAAGGCTGCCACAGAAAACTCCCAAATTTAATTTTACGTAGTTATGTAAGTGTTATTTAGTAGTATATTTAAGTTTATTTTAATTGTATAGTCGTAGTCTATTGTTATTTATACTATTATTTAGAACAATTATGCTGGTTAACTGTTTACCTAAGACACAGGAGTAACTATTCTTAGTTTAGGAAACAGTTTAGCCTCGTAATTGTTTTTGTATATAATTACCTATCTGTTAGTATTTATGTTTATTTAATAAATAATTTTGATTTTGATTTGATTTGATTGCCCTGCACCTGCATATATGTGGCTCGCACACTTTGCAATCGAGTCTCAGTGCCACGGCTATTTTTAGTGGATTGTTGTCTAGATAAGTGCCTATGTGGGGTGAAGGTAGGGCGTTTAGCCAGGCCCCTGACTCGTGGCAGCTGGCCGCCTGCACTAGCTAGGTCTGCACCAGAGGATATCGCTATTCGTTTTTGGAAGACATCTTTTGCGCAGATCATCCATTCATCGGAAATCAGCATCCATCATACATTACAAATTTTTGTGGACAGTAACCATACACTGCGGTTCGCAAAAGAAGGGGACCCGAAATGGCAACGTTATTGTTTACGTGTTTTTCATATTACATGAAATTTCAGCAATATGTGAGTGTTGCCATTTCGGGTCTTCTTCTATGAACCAGGTAGTATTACATTTCAAAAAACATCTCGCTAGCGCGTTTTAGAAAACCTGCAGTGACATTTATTTTAGAGCTTTTGCGATGTTTGTACGCGATAATCTCCGAAAATATAGCACGAAGATGCGTGAAACTTTTTGTGGTGTGTAGATAGCACGTCAATATCTAAGATACTTTTTATCACAGGAAACTTGCTTATTTCTACGTAAATTACGAAAAAAAACAAATCGACAAACCTAAACAGAAATTCATGCCGCAGAAAAATTTGGAGAGCCTACCCCACCCCACCAAAAGTGAGGAGATGCAATGCAGTCAATCTGTTACCGATTGTGTGCATCGATGGTAAGACCACACGTAACGTTCAGTGCTTTGCCTTAGCGAAGCGCAAACGCATGCGTCTGTCAGATGCACAAGTATGCAAAATCCTCATACAGAAAACCAACGATGAAGTAACGTGACGCAAGTTTCGCGCTGCGTTGTTTTAGCGCAAGTTTTTATCAGGCGTTTTTAGATGCATACTTACATTATTTCAAAATTTTCTATACCGAGGTTAGACGTTAGCGGTTCGCTAACCTTAAGTATCTACGGGCGGACTTTAATTACGTGTGGGCCCAACCTTAGTTTGATTGTGCATGCATCACTCCAAAATTAAGTATGGAGGTAGAGAAAGGTCTTAATTAACATCTAGGTACGATAGAGAAGTGATAGTGACAATTTTCATCAGTATTGAAGGACCTGTCTGCCTACCTACCTGACGTCGTACACAAAGAGTGCGGGTAAACTATGAAAATGGTTCTATTAGAAAAGTTGTTAGCATGACGTGTCGTTTTTGTAGGCACATACCTAGGTAATTCTATGCATAGGCGAGACGAAGTTCGCGGGCACCAGCTAGTTTATAAATAATAGCAGCCCGCCCAGCGGTTTCACCCGCTGCTACTTACCTGTTTTCCTCTACAAATTGGATCTTTGCCCGTAGTAAAAAGTCCATTACTCCGATCCAGCAGAGGTAAATGTGCGAGCAGAAGCGGCCCGTCATGCTGAATAACTTTTACTTTGAAGCCATTACCGTATCTCTTATTGTTTATATGGGATGCTGGTGGTCTACATCAGGTACTCCAGACCCTCGTGACCATGTGCCAGCAGCAGCGGCCCGTCATGCTGAATAACTTTTACTTTGAGGCTTTTACCGTATCTCTTATAGTTTATATGGGATGCTGGTGGTCTACATCAGGTACTCCAAACCCTCGTGACCATTTGCCAGCAGAAGGGGCCCGTCATACTGAATAACTTTTACTTTGAAGCCATTATCGTATCTCTTATAGTTTATATGGGATGCTGGTGGTCTACATCGGGTACTCCAGATCCTCGATGACCATGTGCCAGCAGAAGCAGCCTGCCATGCTGGTCTACATCGGGTACTCCAGATCCTCGATGACCATGTGCCAGCAGAAGCAGCCTGCCATGCTGAGTAACTTTTACTTAAAAACCATTACCGTATCTCTTATAGTTTAGATGGGATGCTGGTGATGTTCATCAGGTACTCCAGATCCTCGATGACCATGTGCCAGCAGAAGCGGCCCGTCATGATGCACAACTTTTTCTATGAAGCCATGGCCGTATCTCTTATAGTTTAGATGGGATGCTGGTGGTCTTCATCAGGTACTCGTACTCCAGATCCTCGAGGGCTGACAAAAAGTAGTCCATGTCCATCTTTACTATGCTAGTAAAATCAGTGCCAAATTTCGCGAAGATCGGTAATATCCGCTGTATTTCCCGCTTTTCCTGCTGCTAACCGTTTTCCCGTGGAAATGAGGAATTTTCCCGTGGTAAAAAGAAGCCTATGTTACTCAGGAATGTTGTAGCTTTCTAATGGTGAAAGAATTTTCGAAATCGGTGCAGTAGTTTCGGAGTTTATATCGATTACATACATACAAAAAAACAAACAAACAAAAAAACAAACAAAGTTTTCCTCTTTATTATATTAAGTGTAGATGTAGATATAGCACTGTGAGTGCATTAAAAATCCCAATACATTAGTTAAAGTGGTCTTGTTAGCAGTTCTTTTTAAGACTAATTAGGATTCATACTCTACTCAGATAGGATAAATACTCTTAAGAGATAGTACCTAGTGTTTTAATGGTACGTGCTTAGATGTAGGTAATTTTTAGATGTAATTTGATGCCGCAATTACTCATACTACTGTATGTTTTAAAATGTTCTCTGAATGAAGAGATCGCTTAAAGCGATAAGGCCGCCCTTGCTTGTATTATGTTGTTTTGTTTCTGTTTTTGTATTTGTATCAATGTTTGAATGTGAGCAATAAAATGTTTCTGTCTGTATGTCTGTGTTTTCCGGTTTTCCTCAGTACTTATTGGCAAGGTTCTGTAATGTACTAGGATTTTTCCGGTGGTAGCTAATGAATTTAAAATTTTATCATTTTTCAATTTTTAAAGTTCTGTTAATATAAATGTACCTAAATGATTAAAAAAGCTTTGGGACTCTTGTACTGTCAATTAACTTATTATCTAAGGGACCTAACAAGGACCTAACTTATACTAGGTTTCATGCTTGGACAAATGTTTCATGAAAACAAATAATAAGAAAAACAAGTATAAATTATAGGTATTGATGAGCTAGCGATAGTACGAGACTACGAGTGTCTATCTATCTCTACAAGGTTCTTTTACACTGAGCTACATTGAGTGGGTGATTAACCTATCTGATATTGAAACTCGAACTTATCAGAAGAAGGCACTTCTGGAATGACAATGGGTTATTTCTATTTAGGAAGCAAACTTTGCAGTCTAAAATCGCGTTAAAAATACAGGGTTATTTTTTAGTTAAGTTTTCAGGATGTTTCTACTCATGATTCTGAACAACTTTTAGAATTGGATTTCTCAGGTGGCCCCACCTGAGAAATCCAAAAAATATTTTGGGTGTTCCATAAATTTTGCCGAGTATGCATGAATTTTTCTATGGAACATACAAAATTTTATTTACTAATTCGTAGGTGGTCCCATAGTAAAAATTGAGCATAATCACGAGTAGAAACACCATGCAAAGTTTGCGCACGGACTAAAAAATTACCCTGTATAGTATACCTAGCTGATCAATACATTTTGTTCGAGTAGGTACTTATTTTTGATTATCTACGGAACAAACCATTTTTTTTATATTTTGGAGGTGGTCAATACAATAAAAGATATTAATATTTATGAGGAGAATCACCATGCCTACTTATATTGATTTAAATATTACCTTGTCTACACTAATATTACAAAGAGGTATAAGATTTGTTTGTTTGTATGTAGCGGATAAACTCTGAAAGTACTACAATGATTTTGAAATTGTTTCACCTTTAAAAAAAGCTACACCTTCCGTGAGTAACGTAGGCTGCTTTTTATTACGAGGAAATATTTTATTCCCACAGGCAGGAAAATCGTTAACTAACAGCGAAAACCCCGCTAGGCTAGCCGCAATAAACTTTATTTGGTAAACTTGCAAAATTTTCCACCGCAGGCTGGATTTGAATCAGCGACCTTCGCCATTAGTACCTACTGGCGACGCCTCTACCAACTGTGCTACAGCGGCTCACTCCAAGCCCGCGAATTTGCAAGAGTGCAGTTTGTAGAGCAGAGGCGTCGCCAGTACTAATGGCAAAGGTCGCTGGTTCAAATCCTGCCTGCGAATTTGCAAGTTTTCCAAAAATTTTATACGAGTACCTAACACGGGAAGTGTTTTTGGGTATTCGCAATAAACTTCTTTGCTGTCATTTTAATAATTATGAGATTAGATTAGTTATAGACTGTGATGTACCTAAGAAGCAGTGGGTGAAACCACTGGGCGGACCTAGTATTTGATACACAAACCACTTAATAGTTGTTAAGATAGCGATCTCTATCCAAGTGAGTACCTGCATACTTATTGATTAAGTCATTTCAAGAGCTCGGTTATGTAAAATAGTGAGGGTAGGATGCCGCCCAACAAACATTTTAGCCATAATTTTCACCACTCTTATCGTTTGTATTGTTTTAACGGGTATATAAAAGTGTCTAGTAAAACGTTTATTGGTTTAATGGTCATGAATATAACTAAATAAATCATTAAGCTCAGTAACAGTAACAATAAAACATAATACGAATTAAGAAGCTATAAAAGAGTTAAGCTGAACTACAGAAACGCTAGGAGTTGTAACCTCAAGTAACAATAAATACCTTAAGCAGTAATAAGGTTTCTAGTAAGTCTAACTATTCCCATGTGATCTTCAAGAGAGCTAAGTAAATGTTTTATACCACTTAACTTGCATATAACCATAGTATTACTTAAAAAGGTATGAAGGTTATAGTCGCAACCATTATAGAAACTACTCTTATATACTCAAGTAACGCAGAACACTTAAAGCAATATTAAAGTTTCTAATAACTTTACTACCAACAAAAGCTCTTGAAAGTTGTCGTCAAAATATTTTTATTACCTATATTGGTATATGAGAAGTAATTGGAACTTATTTGCAAGCAATTAAATTTAGGAATCAAAAACCACTTTAATATGATATGAGTCTGTATTATGGAGTTACTTTTAGAGCCTTGTTCGTTATAACGGTGTTTTAATTTACTCTTATGTTATTCTAAGCAATAAGAAAATACGATTTAAATGTTGTAACTTTTATTTTCACTTGAAATTATAAAACAAATAAGATAAAGCTTCTATAGATGTACCTATAATATTGCCAATCGCAAAATTTTAGAAATGTGTTTATGTGTGTAGTCCCATTTACTCTCAAGTATGTTTTCTCTTCCTTGCTTGTTTTTTGCTATGATTTCCTGGAAAAAACAAAAAAGATGTGGAGGAATCAAAAGAAAATACTACTACCATTAAACCTAAGCCGAACCATTGTAAAACCAATCACTTCAAACTTGTTCTCTTATTACCATTAAAAATCTATTCTGGTATAACAACGGCTACAATAGTTCTAACTACAACCTTCTTAGCACTTCTTATTCAATAAAAGTAACAAGAGGAAACTAGGGTAATAAGAAGTAGACGCCATGATAATTCAAACATAACCTTAAAATAATTTATGAAAAAACTAATTTTAAACGCAATTTTTACATCATATTCTGAATTTAAAATGAGTTTTATTTACTAAAATACACTACAACTATAAAATACAAAGACAATAGGGCGTTTTTATCTTTATGTAGCTTGAGAGCATACCCCTCCTCATAAAACAAAAATATTTTTTACTTGAAATACCACTTCTTTTCAAGTCCCTGCAAAATTGAGATGCAAAACATGTATGATTCTCTCAATAAAGTTACCCGCGTAATAAGTTTTAGTTATGTAAACTTTACTTACCGAGTTATGAAAATCCGTAACTTGTTTTTGTTTTCTCTTTAATATTTCGCCATCATGTTGGAACAGTAACGCAATTTAAGTGACAAACATAAAGAAAGAGTACAATTTATATGCAAAACTATAGAAGAATCAAACGTGCTAGAACTTTGAGTTGCTACTCAATATGGATCAAGATACGTAAAGCAAATCCAAGATATAAATGGACTTAAAAAAGAACTAATACATAACCATAAAATATATATAAACAGAATTTAGAACTTGCCCAACTAACAACTTGGTCCTATAAAAAACAGACTAAACGACTTTTGGTGATATTAAGGTCGTATAGTGGTAAGCAGAATTTCACTGAGTTGTGTAGTGGTGTCTTATTCGACCTTTTAGTCGTAAACGTCTAAAGTCGTATAATTTGGTCGAGTAAACGTTTATACGACTTAATTATACAACCATCGTATAAAGGTCGTATAAATGATCGCTATACGATTAAATTATAGGACTAATCGTCGCTGTTGGGACCATTATACTGGGTTATTTTTTAGTCAGTGCGCAAACTTTGCAGGGTGTTTCTCCTCGTGATTCTGAACAACTTTTATTATGGGACCACCGGCGAATTCGCAAAAAAAAATTTGGATGTTCCATAGAAAAATTCACACCTACTCGGCAAAAATGTATGGAACAACCAAAAATTTCTTTTAGATTTCGCAGGTGGCCCCATACTAAAAGTTGTTCAGAATCACGAGTAGGAACATCCTGCAAAGTTTGCGCACTGACTAAAAAATAACCCTGTATAACCTTCAGTCAGGCCACCGATTGTTACTAGCTCATAAGGTATATAAAGGTCGTATCATTATCTTTTATAAACTGTATATTCTTAAACAAGTTGCCAGTGCGACCGTTATATGACTTTTAGTCAGTTCAGCGACTGTTACCAAACCATAAGTTGTAAAAAGGTCGTATAAAAGTCGAATAAATTTCTTGTCTCAATGCCGCATAAAAGTCGCCTTTGCGACTGTTATATAACTTTTAGTCATGCCACCGACTGTTACCAGACCATTAGGTATATATAGGTCGTATTACTTGTAATAAACCTCGAAGTCATATAAAAGTCGCCATTGCGACCGTAAGATGATTCTTAGTCAGGCCACCGACTGTTACCAGATCATTAGGTATATAAAAGTCTTCTTATTTCCTTTAATCTACCACATAGTTGTATTAAAGTCGCCATGGCGATTCTTATACGACTTGAAGTCTGCTAGCGACCATTAGTTATATAACGTTCGTATAAAGGTCTTACCGCATTCTCATAAAAACTTCGTTGTTTCGACTGCTTTATGACTGCTTTTAGTCATGCCACCGACTGTTACCTGACCATTAGGTATATAAAGGTCATATTATTAACTTTAATAAACCGCAAACTCGTATAAAAATCGTCATTGCGACCTTTATATGACTTTCAGTCAAGCCTACAACTGTAATTTGATCATTAGTTATATTATGATCATATTATTACCTGAAACACACAATGTCGTATAAACGTGGTGTAACATAACGATTAAACGACTAAACGTCCTAAAAAGGCTATTTATATGACTCTTAAAAACCTTTTAATTGTTTAGTAGTCGTACATAATACTTCTTCACAACTACTTGACCTCGCTGTGGTGTGAATTATTGTGGCCATGGTTCTGTAGATAATAAAATAGGAAATTATGTTTGGACGGACGGACAGACTCGATTTATGTATGTATGAATGAATGAATGGATGGACGAATGGACAAACAGATGGACAAACAGTCGTAAAATTAAGCCAAATCCTTTGCAACACGATTTTGTGTTCAACAAAACGTGTTGCGCCGACCCCAGGTAATTGTGATGAGGGCAGGAAGATGGCATTGATAAGTAGGTATGTGAAATTAACGATTAAATCAGATCACTACTGCCAGCCTTGAGAATAGTTCATCATATTGTGTAGTACACCCCCGTACATTTTTGTACGGGGCTATAGTTGGTCCTGAGTCCATTCATCATGTCGTACTTCATTATGTCGTACATTACTCTGTCAGCAATAGTTATGCTGTACAATACAATGTCGTACATTATAGGGACTCGTCGCATCAATTACGGCTGACTATCACTTGTCTGACAGATGTTATCTTACGCCTCACCACGTTTTCTCCGTGGAGTACATACAATGCACAACACGATAATGCCCGACAACGTATTGTACAACAGAATAATGTACGGCATTATGGATAGGCTTGAAATACGGGCCCAGACTAATAATGTACAGTGCTGCAATATATAATAGAATCAAAATAAGTTACGTCACAGCGGATGAAGTGAAGTGACAGTGTTGGCTGTAATCGACTTATACAAGGTGTTAAGAAAAGTAGTACGTTCCTTTATACCACAAGTTCTGTTACGTAGGTATAACATAGTGTCTTGACCATGTTTAAAAAATAAATTAAAAATATTTTATATAAAACATAATTTAAAAAAATAAATTGAAATGTTCAACCCTAGGTCTGAGCGTGATAGAGCACATCATTACTGTCACGTTCAGCTGCGGTTGCACCGTTGTAGATCTTAATACGCGCTGTAAAGGAACAGTGCATAACTGCATAGTTATTGGAGTGGTAATTGACAGTACATACACTGTAAAGCGCTCTGTGTTGTAGAGTTGAACTTTTTGATTAAAATATTTTAAAAATATTTTTATCATCAAATATTTTTTTTAAATCATTTGAACGCCCTTAACATACTTTATTATACGATAGGACAGACTACTTTTCCTAACTCCCTGTAGATTATTTATTCGAACCTAACATACAAGGCAACCCAGCGAGGCGGGACGGTAGTTTGGGGGATGCAGCCCCCCACAATAAAAGACAACCTTTAACACAATTCCAAAACAGTAGGTTAGGTAAGGTAAGAAATAGAGCGAACAAATTGAGCGACTAAGCTCAATAAAGAATAAACGAGCGCTGTCAACGTAGCTAAGTTCTGGGCTGGGATCATATAAGTAATGATTGCCATCGATACGCTAAGGAGAAGAATAAAGAATATTATATAATTATATTATTTTAAATAAAAACGATATCGATTTAGTTAGGAATGTATGTAAAATTATCGATCAATTCACATCACTATGCTACTACTCACGTGATATCTCCGATCACAATGTCGTGCATTACACCCCCGTACATTTTTGGTACGGGGTGAAGGATGGCGACATTG